ACATGGCTTAAGAAGTCACTTCAGTTCTACTAGAAATCTAACTTATCTTAGAGATAATTATCTTCATTGACCATAAAGGGAGCTGAGCAAAACAGACTCTCAAATTACAGCACTTAGGCAGAATAAATCCCAGCCTTAATACATAACTTCAAAAGGCATGTGACTAGCCACTTTGGCTTCAGAGGGATAACATCTGTGTTTAAAACCTTTGCTGACAACACTGACCATAGTAAAGGGCAATATTCTGGTTTAGGAAGGTATTCTGAGAGCAAGCTCTTCAAAAACTTTAAAGGGAAGAAGGCTACCCCAGAAAAGCACATAAACAATTGATTTTCATTGCTAAACACTGACACAGCTGAAGTATAATTCTTAAGTACGTTAATTTCTACACCTTTTGATTCACAGGACAGTATAAAACTGCTCTGGAAGTTAATAGTTTCTATTTCCATATCCAATTTTCAGTTTAAAAGCATGTGCTTAACTGCAATTCTTTCCCAGCTTTCCAGGTTCACATGTTATATCTGAGTATCAGCACGGCAATTCAAAAGCCAACCAGCTGAGAGATACTGACTGAGCCTGAATTTTGCCCATTATCATTCTTGGCCATAAGCTACAGAAAAACAGTGTGCACCTGTTCCCGGGCTTTTAGCACATTTTCCAAGAAGTTGCTACTTCAAATAATTCAAAATAAAATTCCATCAAATTTGTCTTTCATGAAGACAGTATCATTGGATATTTGCATTTATGCAAGGCTCCAGTTTAAGGGTGGCAGAGAGGCTTGCAATCTTTAATGCAATCTGATCTGAACAAACACTGCAAGGTAGAGAAGTATAGCTATCCCTGTTTTGCAAACATTAACTGAAACTTGTATGAACTAAGCATCAAAAATATCATCCAATGTATCATCCTCATTTAGGAAATCAAAGAAGTAGGGGCGTACAGGCATTTGCATCTTGGTAAGGTTACACTGATTTTCTTTCACAATGGCATTGTTAAAGCTCTGCTCACTAAAGGGTTTTATAAATGGAGACCTAAGGCACATTAAATTTAAAAGTGTATACCTATTATAGATATACAGCCTGAGAAGTCAAGTGCCTATTTTTTTGTAATGTACTTAGCATTTTTCATACTGAACCATCTATTTTACAGTAGTGCTCCTAGTGTTACATGCTGCTAGTGGGAGTGTTCAGCACCTCCACTGCTCACACTCCACAGTTTCAAACTGGGTATTAAAAAAATTACCTAAAGCTTGCCTAATAGAGTAGAACAGCCACAGAAAAGGGTTATTTGGATGTCAGGGGAAGGCAGGGAGCCCCTACAGAGAGGTTTTCATGATTACATGTTTCTCCTGGAAGCAGTGGCTTCAGGCTCAACTTGGCCAAAGAGCCTGAAGTAACTCTACCATGCACAAGACCTGCACCTTCTGACTCGGAGGGTAGCAGCAGAGGGGCTATTACAGCCTTGGCAACATTTAATGTATTTTGTGCAGATGAAAGAATGGGCTGAAATTCTTCCCTTGGGAAATGGGTGTACAGCAGAAAACAACAGGTCTTCAATGCTAGATGTTACTTCGCAAAAGATGGGGAAGGATGAAGAACAGAGGTTGATATTCTCATTCAGGAAGAGAAAAGATTCACTTCTCTTCTGCAGAGATACTGTATGCTTTTAACAGGATACATAAGTGAATTAGGCCTTAGGCTTTCAGTATGTCCAGTAAGTCTGACAATTTCAAAGTAAAGATAAACAGGGCTTGTGAAGCATCTGAAGACCTATGAACCCTCAGCAAACTGGTCAGGATTCCAAAACATAGCATCGTTTGGACATCAAATACCTTAAAACTCCAGACAAGTGCCAAAGAAACAAAGCACCTCATCCCATTCCAATGGTTCAACCTAATCACTGGTAACAAGGGTTTTGCATGCCCTTGTATGCAACTCACAAAGCAAGGAAACACTACATCCAATCATGAGTTCCAAAACACAACCTGTCTGCTAAGCCTTTCCTTACCCTTTGTTCCTCCTTTCCCTTCCCCTGTATTCCCTCAAAACAATCAGCATAGACAAAGTCACTTCTTAGCAAATTACAATGAAAAGTGAGGGACAACTCTAACTACAAGGTTGATTTCTCTTCGCAATACCATATGTGCACTTCAGTTTGAAGTGGGTACTCCAAACAAAAGGGTAAGCTTTAGAAACCATCTGAGTGTAAATGGCTGTGAACCTGTGTAATGCATCATTATCTGTTTGTTTCGTGTACTTTTCACACTTGCAAGTTTATTACTACCTAGAGCTTCCCCCTTCCAGAAAAGAGCTCTTGTATCTTGCCATGTTATTTTATGGTTTGCCTTACATACAGCCTATGGCAACGCCCCAACCCACATTAATTTTAAGAAGTGGCTATGACTTTAAAGAAACACAAAAGCACAGTAGCATCACAAATTATAACAGGGATATGAAGTTGATTTGGGTAAAGGGGAAGGAAGAGCAAGTCGTAAACAACAAGCAGTGGAAGTTCAGTCCTGTATTTCTCAAATGCAGATCAAAATAAGCCCTGAGTTTTAAGAATTTCTCTGCTAGTTACATCGCAACTTCCTCCTCCATCATAACAAGATGAGCAGAAGAGCCCTCTGACACACTCTGCCTTCAGAAAGCTGCCCCAAGGGAGTTACAATTGCTGGTAAATAACCACATTCTAAGACAACACTGTTCTTTAAAAAAAAAGTAAATAGCAGAGCTTACACAAGCAACAATAAATCAGCTCTATCTCTCAACCAAGCTGAAGATGAGACCAGCCTGGTGGTAAAGCAAGATTTCCAAAAGTGTATTCTTAATGCTTAAAATTAAAAGCTGAATCAATATCCTACTGCCAACAGAACATTTTCTATTTCTCAATTCTGTCAAAAATGCTTTTCAAAAATATTTTGCAATAGTAAGATAACAATTCTTATCCTTTAGTCACCCCCTCACACACTTTGTAAGATGAGAAGAAAATCTTAATTACACAAACTGAAAACATGGTCAATATTTGCTCTTAGCTTTGCTTCTGCTATTAGCTATGCCTAATGTTTAATACTTTTCTGAGCCGATGCATCTATTACTTAAAACACAGTAAATTCTACAACAGCAATGACAGACAGAAGACAGTGTCCTTACTGCAAAGATCGAGTTTCAGTATTTTCGGGTCCAATTCAGAAGTACTTGGGAACAACTGCATTAAGAGCCTAATCAACCCCTAACAGAAATGTTTCTATAATAAATACAAAACTATAAATATTTTTCACTAAAGACTGGTTCTAGGTGCCAAAATGAAGATCAAGAGAAGAAAGTAATTTTCAGAAATTACATGTTACTTAAAAAGGAAAGTTTAACAAAAAGGGAAACAGAAAAATAATGATTTAAAGAAAATAAAATCACACTTCAGATCCACCAAGTTTCCTAAGTTAAATTCACCAAAACTGAAACATCAAATTACAGTCTTGGTCAAAGGATAGTGACTCACTTCCCACCCCGCCTTCATATGCTTAGATATCATTATATTCACTATAACAACCAATTACAGATCACAAAACCATGTTGCCTCTGAGCCAAGAGGAAATCCATTCAACATTTAATTTTGGTTTTCCTATCCTGCTGCACAGATAAGTTGCACTTAATTAGTCAGAGTCTTAGAGATGACAGAGCACCACAGTTCTCTTGCATATATTTGTGTAAAGTAAGACCACAGAGTGGAATGAAAAGTTTGTTTCTTCCTTTAAACTGTAACTAGTGATGCAATATCATCTATACAGAATAGTGTGACATTTTGCAGCCCCTGAATATAATTTCTGGGCACTAAGTTAATTTATAGGCATTAACAAAGCTAAGAATGGCAACTGGGAAAAAAAAAAAAGGAATAGGAAACATTTTGAGTGACAGCAGTAACTAATTAAAAATTCAAATAGCACAAAGTCCATCTTTATAAAGAATTCCAATAAATCAGTTAATGAAGCCATCTTCTCCCTAATTCGAAACTATTATTTTACTTCTAAATTACTTTGAAAACTGCATCTTGTATGATCTTCTAATGAAAGGGAAAGCTTGGGAACATTTTTCTTGTTGATGTTCCTATAAGATCTTAATTTTAACCTGAATTCATGACACTTAAGTGGAACATGTTGACCTCTTTACATTTTTAACACAGAAAAAATGCCACACAGTCATCTGCTCTTGCTTAACAATTCAGGACAACTCTACTGTAATTCTCACACACTGAATCCAATGACAGTGCTTCAACTCAAACACACCTTTTACAGTTTCATCCACTTTTAAAGGTTTGAACAACGAAGAATCTTTGTTAGCTTGTGCTTCAACTCCTAGATTATCATGACTATTTTACAAAAGTGATTCAATTACACAGTGAGACTTCATCCCAAAGGATACTAAAGGCACTTTATTAACCAAAGTCAAAAGCTCTCTGTTTACCTTCTCAAGGTAAAGTTTGGTAACTGTTTAACAACTGTCACTGGTGTATTTAACTCTTCAGACTGCCTCAAATTTAAATACAATATTCATCTCTATTTGCCATTCTGCTTCATAGTGTGAAATAAAAAAACAATTACCAAACCCTCAGCTATGTCCATGTAATTTATATTCTCTAGTCTTTTACACTTCTACTGATTTTAAGAAAGGGTGTATTGTTTTGTCTTAAATCAAATAAACTATGATATTTTTAAAAATATCATCAACCTGGATGAAGCCTGGATATTTTCAAGCTACAAAGGACACTGGAACTCAGTTCCACCAACAGCATGCCTTTCCTTCTCCCCTCATGTCACAACCAAATCATATCACCCTGGATGAAAGAAGCCTTAAGTGCTGAATAATGCAAAAAGACTAACAGAGGCAGGTACCAAGCTTCTCTGATGCCTTTTCCAGAAGAAAGGCAACAAAGTCTTTATATTGACATTGACCTACTGAAAACATTTATGAAAACCTTTGGTTCTAATTGAAAAAGATACATACCCCTATAATACTCAGGCCTTTCAGGTAGTCCTGTCGAGGTTGGGCTTGTGGCACACAGCCTGCTAGAACCACTTTCTTCTTCCCTTCTTGGGCTTTCCTAAAGAAGGACAGAGTGTTAATATTTCCAAAACTGATCAGTTTCAACTTCGAAGTTGTGCATGTGACACAGAAAAGCAACCACAACTAAAACATTCCCAAATCAGAAGCAACTTACAGTGGTTTGAACCTCAGAAAGCAAACAAACCTACACACCAAAAGAACCCTATACAAAGCTATCAGGCTACAGCACACATGGCTCAGTTAAAAAGCATCTACAGAGACCATTATCACTGTGTATCCTGGAAAAAAATACAACCTGAAAGCCCTATTCAAGTTCAGTCAACCTTCATTTGCCACAATGATAGCAGAGAATCTGGTCAAGAAAGATGGGACAGAGATATTAAGCACAATTCCAAAAAAGTGACACAGAACACAACGGACAGCCTATATAGATAGGAACCGCTAGCTCAGAGCATAAGCATTTATGTAGTACCAGGCAGAAAAGACCAGTTTCATCAGTCTTCTGATGTTCACTTAAAAATATTTAAGTAAATGCTTACTTTAAATCATATTGAGCATTTTCAAATTTAACTGCTTGCCTTTGGCAGAGAAACATTTGTCTGGATATTAACTTACATAATTCTTTAGCTTTGATGCTACCTTAGCATCAAGTAGGAAACCAAAACACTAAGATTAAATGGTTAACACTGTTCATTTTGTTAGTAATATTTTGACTTACTTTGAATTCAACACTGAATATCAAGCCATCACTGAATCTGGAAGCTACAGGAAGCCCTGAACAAAATCTATTGGCTGCATACAAAACATTGAGATGCAAAACCTTCTTATATTCATTAAAATTTGAAGATCATCCATTAACACATTAACCCAACATGACTACTGCATTATAATGTGCAAAACAGTAAAGAAGCACTGAATAATTTTAGCAGATTTGCTAGGTCTGACATATTATGTATTGCTCTAAGAACTATCTTTCACAGTTGCATGCTGTATCACAACCTCCTGGCAGACTTCTGTCAAACTGGAACCTTGTAAATCCACATTTTCTCCAGTAATATATGGATTCATAAAGTGTTTACTGTTATGTTGGAACAGGCTAAGACATGTCATAACAATTTTCAGAAAAATTATCCTATCCAAAACCCACAATTGCTTAGACAATTTTATATTCTTCAGCTTGCTTGAGCTGTCTCCGAGCTGAACGCACTAAAGAAAGTAATGTTCAACAAGCACAAAGATGCTACACTGAGTATCTGGAGATCTCCAGCAAATGCAAATTTAATGAAGGAAAGAAAAACCCATACCAGTACCACACACAGTTCCTCTCCTCACAATTTTCACTTCATATGCATAATATGGACAAATTTATTTACAAAGTATAGTTCAAATGAAGTGTAATATTAAATGTAATATTAAAAGGAGATCACAAGCCATATTGCCAAAAACCTTGTGTTGGCTGCTGCACTAAAATGAGGAATTTTGAAGGAAAGAATTAAATATCCTGTACACAGACAAGTGTGAGATAACTGGAAAGTGTATTACACCTATTACCTCATATGTAATATAAATGCTGCAAGTCTCTATAAAATACTCTTTTTTCTTCTAGTGGAACTTTTAGGAAGTCTTCACACATTAATCATACAGAGTCTCACTGGCCCTCTACCTGTACACTAATGTGTATTATATAAATGCAAATCCTTTCATCTCTTCCTGATAATATTTCTGTGGCCAAAGAACTATGATGAAATGCTAATTTAATACATTCCTTAAGCAGGGAACTTAGCAACATGTCTCTGAAATCTGCAATCCTTCTTCCAGTGGTAAATATTTAAGGGTTTTACAAAAACTTCAGCAGAGGTCACCTACTTCTACATATCCAAATAAAAATAAACAAAACAAAAAAATCCTACTTCACAAATTACCTTAAAATGTCACATAGCACCATGTGACACTCCACTCACTCAAAGGATTTTAAAAATAAATAAATAAATAAAATCAAAATCACTACTTACATAGTCTAACAGACTCAACCTAATGCCTCAAGGCAAGACAATAAGACCCGTCTGCAGCAAACAAAGCACACATCCCTAGGCAACTCTGCATCTGGTATAATCTGCTGCTAGCAACAGCCGTCTCCATCTACTTGAAAACCTGTGAGTACTACCGAAGAAAAAGCTTTTATTCAAGTCTTTTTATCTGAGGAAAAAAAATAAACAAAGTTTCCCTTGACACATTAAATGGCATTTTAATGTTATTTCACAGCTTTAACATTTTGCCGTATCTTCTGGGACTATAACTGGGGCTAGGGGGAAAAAAGTTAAACTGAGTATTCATTATAAGCACTGCCTTCATTTAACTCTTTTAAAGTTGTACAGGTCTCTACAGAATGAAGAATTTTGTACACTGAGATTTTTTACTTTAATATGCAATTAAGTGGAAATGTCAGAACTAAGTTTTCAATCATAGTCAATATTCATTATATCCATAATACACTGTACAGTCCATGAAACTCACCATAAATGAAAAAGACTAAGAAAATTACAAAAATTTTTGCTTCATTTTCAAGAAACCACTTCTCAAAATATGAATTCCAGTACTACTTTGTCACCTCCTTTTAATATTGTTTAATGAGTCCTCCTGATATTAACAAAAGCATACAAGAATTATTCTTCAGAATTCTAGTTAGCACAGCGACTGTATTTAGAAAATCCTTTATCCTTCAAAAACATGAATAGTAATGAGAATAATACCTCATGGAATCTAGTAGGTGGCATGAATAAATACATCTTCCCTTTTAGACACACTTTGTATTTTTCAATTACATGAACCTTACCTTGAACTTTCCATTTAATTGACTCAGGAAACATTTTCTACACTCTTTTCTAAAATACACTCTTTTCTAAAAACTACTTGCAAGATATACATTTGAATAGAAATTTAATTAGAGCAATTCTTTTTTAAAAAAAGGAATTATTCAAGCTAACTTCCTAAGTAATGGTGGCAGCAGCAGAGGCAGGGGAACAAAAAACAAGTGAGAAACAACAGGGGCATGAAAAAAAGTACTGTATACAGTAGAGGACTCATGCAAGATCTGTAGTGAAATCACAGATTATACTCCACTGCAACTCCACTGCATAGATAGAGCCATTGCAACTCTAACTGTACTGTCAGAGTTAATAAATAAGTTCAGTGTATTCTGCTTTTTACAAAGCAAATTCGGCAACATAACTAAGATGGGGAGAAACTTCTGCTTTGCTTACATGCACTTCTATTTACGTTGTTAGGAACCTGCCCCAACTGGAATATTCTGCTCACAATTTTATGTTTTTGCATGGTTCCCCTACTTTTTATTTTTTTGAGCTCCAAGAAAATTTGGTTAGTAACATGAAAAAGCTTTTTTTTAAATGCCCCACATCCCCCCCAGAAAGCCCTCCAGAAAGCCTTTGCTACATCAGCACTGTGTGTACATCAACACTGCTGGGATACCGTGGCAGCAGTACAGGACGTTGTTACCATTTCTTCATGGCTCAACAGCTACTCGGGTGGAATCACCACTGGAAAAAAATAGGGACCTTTTCCTGAGGTTCAAATCTAAGGAAAGCAAGGAGATTAAAAAAAAATAAAATAAAATAAAAAGAGAGAGACCGCGCACTTAAGAAAAAAGTGAACACAGAGAAGATGGGCTAAATTCAATGGAAGATAATCTATGTCATGGAAACTAACTGCTAACTTGCTCTTTCCCAGAGAGCAATGAGAGAAGCCATACCACCACCGCTCCCCTACTCACTTCCCTTGCCATAAGCAGAGCTGCCCACCAGACTTTTATAAATTGTGAACTCTTAAGTGAATCACTCTTCACTTTCAGAGAGCTACCATTACTACTCCCCAAAGTATCCCAACTGCACAGGAAGACATGGCAGGCATCTGATTGTCAAAAGCAGTCTGTTCTGCAGGGAGCAAAGCTGGCAAACTACAGACATGAAACATGCAATTTGTAAAGTGTTGCTCTGGTACCACATATGTGAAACCAAGTATTATTTTTCCTCCAAATTTTTCCTCCAAAACCCATTGTTGGTGGAATTAAATAATGAATAGGCATTTAACTGCCTGCAGCAGCAGGACTAAGTAACAGTCAAATACAAGTGAGAGAAGAAACAAAAGTGGAATTTTCATCAAATGCAATAAATTAGGGGGAAAAGTGCTTTACAGAAAGCTTGTTAAGCTTTGCATTGATAATAGTTGGGATATGTTCATAAAATATTAGAAGGAACTACTTCTAATGCTGAAGTACAACAGGAAGTATCTTTGTTATATGAAATGAAAATGCAAGTGTTTCAACCTGAATCCTACTAGGCAGATGACAACTGACCATGCACCCAAGTTAAGTTTTTATATCAATGAGCTATTTCTACCACATTACTCCCCTCCCCATTGTTGTACCAGCACAAATCTGGCAACTTTCACATTAAGATATGTATAGTAAAATCAAATAGTGCAATGCACCAGCGTAGTCTACTCATGCTGTTCTTATGGCCTTCTAATACACAAAATCCACAATACCCCTTTATCAAGTATTTAAGAAAGGTGTGAAGCCATAAATCAATAGGAGGTTTGTGTCTAGAAATGCCTGAAGAAACATTACTATATATGAAAAAGTTCTGCTAAGGAAGCTCTAGCTGAATGCAGTATCAGCTAGGTATATGATGAGATCAGACGGCCAAACATTATAAAAAAGTAAAATTGGGGGGATACCTCTTCCCAGGCTGTAGAAATGATGTTGTGATGTCTCTGGGGAAGAAGACATGCTGTTTGGCTAAAAATTTAAGTGTGTGAAAGATCTTCCAACTGTGTCATCTGCTGAATTAATCAGTAAGAAGCCACAAGTTTTAAAGAGAGTACAACATCCCTGGAATTAAAAAGATGGTGCCTGTACAGCATCTGCAATACATTCCTAAAAATCCATAAAATCACAGAGCTATTTTCTGTTTGAAATATTATACATGGTAACTTAAACTGTGGCTTTACAGGCTTTGAGCC